AACCCTCAGTTTGTTTCCTGCAATTAAGAATTCCTCATATCAGTGAGATCATATGATACATGTCTTTCTCTGTTTGACTTATTTCACTCAACATAATATCCAGGTTGTTTTCTTTCCACTGTTTGGTCTGTCTGTTAAGCCCCCCGATCAGTGCCTTAATTCCTGTGGTCAGCCAGAAGAGTCCTTTTCAGAATAGAGTGTTTATTTGCTAATAATCTCTTTCCTCTCCTTGAGGGACACCTCACTTCCCACTCAACAGCATAGTTGGATAGCACGTGCTGTGTAGGCTGCCATGGCTAGAAATTGTATGCCTCTGAGACATGTGGGGCATCCTGGTTAACAGCTACCCAATTTGTGTCAGATCCTTTCAGCATCACTATTTGTCACTTGACAGTGCTAGAAATAAGCAAGCACAGCAGATGTGAAGTTATCATGACAATAGCAAAATCTCTGGTCTGGATGACATGCCTGGTTGCTCCTTTCAATATTAAGTTATTGACTTCTGAAATTCTTGAAATAGAGTATATATGTTCCACTTTGGTTTTGAAGGCAAATTTTGGGTCTCGGAAGCATTTACTAATATGGGAACTAGATGATTCTTTACAAGAACCCAGGTTTTTACTTGGGCATTCCAGAATAAATTTGCAATTTAAATATATGTGGCTGTAGACAGTGTTAATAACAGATAAGACATACATGTAACTGAGTTTCTAGTTAACCATGTTTTTAATTTCTTCTTACCCCCCCCCCTTTTTCCTCTCTGGAAAAAAAAAAAAAAAATCATTCTTGCTGCTGTGGTCTGTGCACTGGCTGAATCCTCCTGGCATCCTTCTTTGTGGCTGGGTATGTGGCTTTCTCTCTAAAGGACGGTCAGTCCCGAACAGTGAGGCAGTTCCAGTTTACCGACTGGCCAGAGCAAGGAGTGCCAAAGTCTGGAGAAGGATTTATTGACTTCATTGGCCAAGTCCATAAAACAAAAGAGCAGTTTGGCCAAGATGGGCCCATTTCAGTCCATTGCAGGTGAGCGAAGAATCAAGAATGATGAGTTTCCATTTGTGATTCCATTTCCTAATAACTTTGAAAATGTGCATTGTTGTCTATTCATTGTCAGTACAGGCTTATTGGAGTGAATCTGCGTAATTAATATTTTATATTCTCAGAAATATACTGTAAAATCTTAAGCAAGGACTCATTTCTCTTTCTTTCCATAAAATGAAAATACCAGAGGTAAAATTTTTATCCCCAGATTTTACCCCTTGTAACAAAGACAAAACTGTGTTTTTCCTTGCCTAGTTTACCTTTTTTTTTTTAAAGACTTTATTTATTTATTTGAGCGAGAGCAAGAGAGAGAGAGAGAGAAAGCATGAGCGGGGGGGGAGAGGTGGATGGAGAGGGAGAAGCAGACTCCTCCCTGAGCAGGGAGCCAGATGTGGGACTCGATCTCAGGACCCTGGGATCATGACCTGAGCCGAAGGCAGATGCTTAACCGACTGAGCCACCCAGGCATCCCTCTTGCCTAGTTTACCTTAACAGGAATTGTTGGTACATCCGCTAGTGAAAATTTGTTCAGTTAATCATCTCTTACTTGTTTTACTTCCATGGCGTTACAATGATAACTGTCTTTCTGTATCTATCTCCTGTGTTTGTCTTTTTAGGAAAACTATAAATAGTTATCCAGCCTTAATGACAATACTAATTCTTGCCAGTCAGTAAGTGATTAGAATGGTACCTCGGTTAAAATTGCAATTTGCCTGAAAATTGTTGCTATATCAGAAAATGAAGCACCTTCAAGTTAATTATTTTCAATAGTTTCCACAGCATTTTATAATTCAAGTCATTGAAGTTAATAGAAATAGCAAATAAAAGGTTCAGAAAGGACACTCACCATAAATTTAGTGCTTTGGGAAGTTGTTATGCAGAAACCTTCCAGCAAAAGGATTTTTTTATTCCTTTTGTAAATAATTTTATTTACACTAAATATTTTCAGATTCTAGCAATTTGAAGTCTCAGTGTCTAATCTCTTTGTGGTCAAATCTTGAGAGAGTTTAAAATTTTACTTTGCTTCAAAAAAAAAAAAAAAAAGAAAAAAGGAAGGAAAGAAAAAGAAAAAGAGAAAGACAGAAAGATTCCAAACTATGATTCTTAGTGAAAGGGGAGACAAGCTCTCAAAATAGGAGAAATATTCAACTTGGGCTTTAAGATAGCTGAATTCTAGCCTCACTTCTGTCATCATGTAGCGCTATGACAGAATCTTAGAATCTAAGATCCTTTTGAGCACATGGTGTTCCCCAGGGATGATATATTCTGTGAGTAGCAGACCTTCTTTATTCACATTTGCTTTGTGTTGAGTTTGGTTACTCTAGACAACCAAAGATCATGTAGGGAACAACATATGGACTCAAATATTCAGACAAAGTAGATGATATAGACTGGACTGAAATTACCTGGATATTCCCCTTCACTTTCGATATAATTTGCCCAAATGCTAATTCAAACTTTTCTAGCATAAGCTATAAAAAAAGAATATATTTAATATATACATTTAACTTTAGACATTACCCCATAAGTTTATAAATATGTGTTACTTCCCATTGCTTTTGCTGTCACAGAATGATTTAAATACTCCTTTAGGATATGGATTTTAATTATGTCCTATTATCTCACAGCACACACATATATACACATGACTTCTAGATAGTTTCTCTTATCTGGGAATATCCTTAAAATACTAACTTTCTTTATAACTTATTAAACTAGCATTGTAAAGTCAACAAATTCAGAAGTTATAAGGCCAGTGTCTGTTATTTTCTTGAAAACATCTAGTAGAAAGCCAGAAACCCTGTATTTCAATACATTTGAACAATCAAATCAAGGTTAAATATAGACTTGGGAATACCTGGGCCATTCAGAAAAAAAAAAAGAAAAGAAAAAAATCATAAATCATAGCTTCTCAGGAGTAAGAGAGACTTTCAAGGTTGAAAGGAACCTTCAAGGTCATCTACTCCATTTTAACAGAGAGCCTTCACTGCCCCTGGACATCCTCAGGCACTTTGTAAAGACTGCCCATGGATTTTAAAGCCTCACTTAACATTTCTGTTTGGGCTCTTTAGAAAACCCAATTTGTAAAGGGACACACTATTTATATATGCCTGTCAGCTACATCCCCAAGTAAATGAATCCATCCATTTTCTACAGTCTGTACCCAAGCGTTACACATGCCATTTAATTAGGATCCAAAAATGTAGGGATTTTTCAGATTATTCACTCTTCTCCTCATTAGCTAAACCTCCAGATGCTTTCCTACTTTTTAAGAGCACAAAAGCTATGAATTAATTTTCTCTTCTTGCTGCAGTGAACATTCTGGAATTATCTTAAAACAATAAAGAAAACAAACTCAAAACCTTGCTAATGTGGTAGAAAGAATCCTGGTGTTTTAGCTGCTGAACATCTAAAAGTAGTAGATCAGCTCAGTGAGGCTCATCCATCTTTTTTTTAAAGGTTAGAGAACCTTTTGAGAATCTGTTAAAGTTTTCAGTTTCAGGAGAGAGAACAAATGAATATACATTTACATGGTCTGTAAATATAAAATATTCACCGACCCTTCTAATGACTGAATAAGGATCCCATATCAAAAAACCCATAACAGAATCTGTTTTCTCATATCAAAACTGACTTCTCAATCTGAATAGTCTATACCCTTTCTAAGTGATGAAATATCCTGCGTAGATTGTGACCACAAGAAGTAAATAATACACTAGAAAACTTGAAGAGGTCGAGTTTATCTCACCTTATCTGGTATTCCATATACTTTAGAAATACTAAGAAGGCAAGGTCTACAATTGCAGGATCTACATGAAGAGTATTAACCTATATTTATTTATCCTTCCCTGAATCTATTTATTTTGCAATATTTATGTTTCCTACATCTTTCCAAAATGGAGTAGAATCCCAGTTGAAAAGGCATTCCATTGTATTGGACTTCATCTTAATTACTCCACATTCATGCTCACATTTTACCATGACACATTATCCCAAGAGTAGTCATTTCGTGAACCCAATACCACATTTTCCTGAACATTGCTGTGGAAGAACCTGGTGTAATATGGAAGCGAGTGCATATATGTCTACTTCCAAGCAAATGTGGTCAAGACTCTGAGTGTCACATCCTGTAACGCTGTCTTTGTTATTATGGCAGTGCGGGCGTTGGAAGAACTGGAGTTTTTATAACATTAAGCATTGTTTTGGAAAGAATGAGATACGAAGGAGTTGTAGATATCTTCCAGACTGTCAAAATGTTAAGAACACAACGACCAGCCATGGTACAGACAGAGGTGAGAAAAATCTCCATGAATTTATCACGTTTCAAGAGCCAAATAATAGATTTTACTAACCAGAACGTCTTAGAGCCCGGAGACTCTCAACACCAGAGCAAAATACAGGAAAATACTGTAGGAAAACCATCAAATTGTTCAGTATTTTGAAACTCATTTTTTCCCCTCTGTATATGGGAGTGACAATTTCAAAGTCTTACAGTTGTTTTGGAAGTTATGCTAGATTACATATTAGGTTGAACCATGATAAATTATCACTATTTGACCACTTTATAAAGCACACTGCCTGGTACATAACAGACCCTCAGCCCATTTTACTTCTCTATTCTCCTATGGTCATTTTAAATATTTGGATCCTGGATAAGCCCTAGAGAAATTAAGACCCCATTTTTTACTCCAATAACTGATCATGAAATTCTCATCTTTTGTGATTTAGACAGTCTGGCCTATTGACTGTTCATTTCTAAGGATAATATGAGTGAGTGTTTCTGTTCCTCAAAAGGCCACCAAATATATTCTATATGTATTCCTAAATTCATTGCTCACGATATCTTCCAAACTGTGATTTCAAAAGAGCACAGGTATCTGGCTTGCAATACTCAAAGCGTGATGTCGGCCTGACAAACTTAATGGGTGTTGGGGTGGAAGAGGGAAATTGGACATTTAAAAACTCTTAACACTTAGCCAAGCAGCTTACTGTGACAACATAGGAAAGCAAACTCCATTTATTTTGCATTACCATTTTTATTGTAAAAAAAATGCACATTTAAGCAAAATAGAAACTATCTACTTTCAGCCCCATTGGCTACTGAAGATAAGTTTCTTTTATGGCAAAAACTCTATTTCTTTCTCTCTCTCCAGCAATGCCCCGACTTATTCCAATATGACAGTGTTCTTCCCTATCTGAAAAAGGACATGTTTCAAGTTACTATATTTTAATGTGGGCCTTTCTATAACAGATAACTAGCAATCACACTGAATTAGGCCAAACGACACAGCTATTTTTTGATATAGACAGCCAGTCTTGGGATACCAAATGAGAATAAGTTATCACAAATAGATAGTTGTAAAAGACAACAGTGATACATTCCCATGTTCAGTGGTGGTAATTGTTTGGTACTACTTGGAGAACAACTCACACTTGCCTGGAAGATAGTGTTCACTCTAGCTGTTACTACTTTGGAATTAGGAGACGATTTTAGTCAAATCGACTGGTGAAGTTAACAAACAGCCCACGTGGCTGATCATTCTTTGCTCACTGAAATGGATTGGTCATTGGATTGACTTAATTGGTGAGAGCAGTGATTCTGCCCCCATCCAGATGTAACGTCTGGTTTTGAATATTGATTTTCATCTTTCTGTTAAAATGGACTCATGGCCCCTTTTTCCTCTTTCTTCCCGTGCTTGGTCTCCTGCAGGACCAGTACCAGTTCTGCTACCGAGCCGCACTGGAGTACCTGGGCAGCTTTGATCACTATGCAACGTAGAAACCCCTAACCCACTGTGGGTTCTTCCTGCAGGCCCTTCAGTATCCACGGAGTCTCTTCTGAGCCATACAGGGCACTTGAGAAGTCCTTCTTAACTTCTAGCTAACTACCACTTAGTGGGACTATTACACACAAAACAAAATAAAAACAAACTCTTCTGGGTGGACCAAGAATTCACAGTTTAATAATCTAACCTGAAAAAATAATAAAGAGAATCCTGACTGGTGAGGCATCTGAAGGATTTTTACAGATACCGCAAGGATTCAAAATAAAGGGAAGAAGAAATCACAGCAAAGAACCACCATCTTGTTCAGGATTGCTTGTTAGGTGTAAGGAAAAATTGCCAGAGTCCTGCAGTTCAGTGCAAGATGTTTGCTGGTGTGGCTTCTTGTGACAAATGGACTCTGCTGCAACATCGTCCCTTCCCACCATACTGCTCATAATAACATTTTAGGGGGGGATCGGGGGGAAATGTTTAAAAAGAAAGTCTTTGATTTAGTTTTTTAGTATTGTAAAGATACTGCTGACCTGTGCTTCATTTTTAACTGTGTAAACTTTTTTTTAACAAATGTATCATTCGATAAAGTGAATTTTAAAAAAGCTACATAACTCTTCATTTTTTATTTCCAAATTGTAGGTTTTTTTAAGCTGTAGAACTGTTATCTGTAATATCTTGCTGTAGAAATATCCAATAATTTGAAAATTTGCACATTTTTGTGCAATATTCTTAATCTACAGTATCCGTCTTGTCAGATATTACTTTCACACTTCTGTTCAGTTTTGGTTGGTGAGAAAGTACCCATTCTCTTCAAATAGTCAAAGAGAACGTTGTTTTGTTCTGTTTTGTTTCTGGAATCAACAGGGAGGCGCAAAGTATAAAGTTGCTGCTAACATACATACATATATATCCATATTTTACAGGGTGTCTATGTACATATAGACAGTGTGTCCACGCAAAAAGGTAGAGCTATCATTCAGTTCTTCCATGAATTAGTTTTGGGGTTTTTTAGTTGTTTTTTTGTGGTTGCTTTTAGGTAGAGAAGCTATTATAAACATCTTTTACAATTTGTTATTGATTTTATGACATGGGTATTTCTTAATATCATAAAATTTTAATTTTAAGGGAAATGAGGAATGCACATCAGTGATTGTCAAGCCTCACCCCCTAATTTCCTATCCAGTCTCCTCCCACCCACCTACTCATATTCACAAATATCCTTTTGTTAGCCAGGCTTCCAACAAAGTTCAATATTTCTAACACTCTAGTGCAATAAAAAAAAATTACTAAATATCTAAGAGGTGTGCATGTGGGAAAGGTCAGTGCATATCCCTTTAGGAGGGGAGAATGTTGTAATATATCAGCTATCAAGTTGTTTAAAAAAACAATGTATTCAATCATATATTGTCTATAGTATGTGCTATGAAATTTGCATTTATGATATGTAACAGGGGCAAAGCCAAACTCATGTTGCTCTGTTCAGTCAGAAACATTTTGTGGCATACAGCACAACTGGGAAGTGCTGTACTTTGTTTTCTTTTGGTTTTAGTTATGCATTTAGAGTGCCTTATAATTGATGCCTATTTTAATAGCATTTCTTTTTAGCTTTCAGTTCATATTTTCATTAGTTGTTCTTATATATTACTTTTCCAGTTAAAGCATTATCTGTTTACCACATGTACAAAAACTCTTTGAATAATATGCATTCCTAGTTTTCAACTAAGTCGGGGATGTTAGTGATTGTACCAGCCCAAAGCACTTGGATAATCAGGGCCCTTCTTTTCATGGTTGCCAACATCAGGAAAAGCTACTTGTTTTATTTAGAATCCCTGCCAAATCTGTTCTGGAACATTCAGTAACTGCACCAAACTTGTTTAGTGACGAATATCATTGTCAACTTTGGAATATATTTACTAATCCATTAGGATTTTTCTAAAAGGGGAAATTAAACAATTATCTATTTTCCAACATAATCCCAAATTTTCCAACATAATTTCTATAGGAAGCCATGGAAAATGGCATGAGTTTGCCATATATTATATGATTTTAAAGAACCCTCAAAATATCCAAGGAACTCTTAAAGAGTTTTGGTATAGATATAACATTTTGGTTTAATTTTAGCTTCTTTGATGTTCAGCATAAAAGGATTTTGTTTTCCACATTTTACCATCACTAGCAGAATGAAATCCAAGAGACCAAACACTTGCAAGCATCATATTTGAGCACTTTTGTAAAAAAAAAGAAAAAAAGTAAGAAAAAAAGAAAAAAGAAATAATGTTAAAAAAAAAAAGTATCTAGAAGGCTACCTCAGAATGAGACTCTCTAACCTACATCAGAACCAGAGAAGAATGTGCACTATGTGGATCTGTTGTTATTATCTTTTAGTTTATATCTTTTGGAGATTTATCCAAGTGCCAGATTACTGAGTGCTGTGATTTTCATTTAGTGAAACAAAGGGGGTCAGACAGACTTGCAGACATGCCACGTTAGACATGTAGAATCTGATGGTGTATATTACACACCAGAATGACTGACCAATGAGCAGTTTCTCTCCCTGAAATGAAAACTGCCCATTTGGCAAAGGGAAAGAGGAGAATAATCACAAGAAGAAAATTAATGGGATGCATACCATACAAACGAGGCAGAGACTATTCAGAGATCTTATTGTTTAGGCGCTGTTCCGAGAACTAACTCCCTTCCTGTCATTGATGTGCATTCCACTCTGTGCTTTTCTGTACAACCATTCTAGTTTGATTTTCCCAGGTAAACATCTTTATCTACCATTACCATAAACTTTCAAGTTTCTAATTATTTTCATCATCATAACCAGTACGGTGCTATTATTTACCTATGTACGTGTAGTTATGTATAATTTTGTAATTAGTTACAATGGTAAAAAAAAAATCAAAATATATAAAAAGTGATTTGTACAGAACTTTATTTTAGCTCTTTTTTAAAAATGATTTGCATGGTTAGACAACGGCAAGGATAGCCAGGGGAGGGAAGGGCCTCTAGGGAACTTTGCACTTTCTATACCTTTGTACTATGCACTGCCCTATTGATTCTACACCCAATAATGTTATTACTTGAACCCATCTGTAAGAAACTGCTTCAGAAATTCATTTGTGTGTATGTAAATAACACAACATAGACACAGGAAGAGAAAAAATTCTTCAGTAACAGAGATTTTTTTCTTTCCTGTTTATTTTTGGGTTTGCTTTGTTTCAGTCCCTCCTTTTTATTTTTAATTCCCTTTTATTTTTGGGGGGGGGTTGGTTTCCTTTGGGTTTATGGGTGCCCTGATACTCCAGCAGAGATCAGAAGGCTACAGATCCATCCTATCCATCTGCTATGTGGCTTTGCCATTCAAGCTTGGAGTGTCTTTACAAAGATAATAACAGTTGTGTTCTTTGCTCTCGTTTTGGATGCATAGACTGAAAAATTTAAAAAAATAACTTGTAAAATGGCTTGTTAAAAAAATACAATTACCTCTAATTAGTAACGCGTAAATGTTTTACAGAATGAAAGGCGTGCTTTTTATTTTCTTACTTCGTTACATTGGTGGCGAAAGAAGTCTGTATGAAAATCAGTTCTTTGCTGACACAAGTTCCATTTGTTACAAATGAATTCTAATAAAAATGTCAGTGTTATGCAGCCCTGGCCTTTACTTTTGTCCACTCAAGCATTTTGGTTTTGAACTGACTATATATGTTCCCTTTTCTCTCTGGTTATCTGGTTAGTTCCTTTGTACTAATAGTAATTAAACTTACCAAGAGGCTGTCATTTATGATTGCCTGCCTTGAGGTGAGCACTTTTCACTGGTAAGCAAAGTAAGGCTTGGAAAACTAGTTTGCCCAACTCACACAGGAAAAAGAAGGCTTTGGTATCATTCAAACTAGAGTTCATGGGCAATTTCTAACTCTATAGAAAATGACTACAGATACTTTGTAAATTTGAGTGGATTTCAGCCTATAAGTATTATCATCTTGAAACAACAGCTATCTCTCATGCACATAAAAATAGCTCCATCATGTTAACTTCTTAAGCTTTTTGGAAACTAAGAAAATACTTGGCTTGAGTTGTTTATTCAGTTATTCGATATTAAGGGTCAGAACTGCTCTAGGCTTTGGGAATGCAGCTATTGGTACATGAGATGCTGCTGTTCACAAGGAGACTACAGTCTAGGGAGAGAGACTGGAATTAAAGAAATAATAAAATTGCACTCGGGAAAGTGCTATGAAGGAAAGTAACGGATTCATGAAGTTAGGACTTTGAATTGTGAGGGAAGGAAGTCTGATTCAATTTGGCTTACAATGAAAGGAAAGTGTTTATTGGCTCACATACTAAAAGATTAGGAGTGGGCTCATACTTAAAAAGTAGGAATACATTCCTAATTATTAAGCACAGTGACGTTTGGGGCTCAAGTGATATCTTCCAGCCTGGTTCGACTTTCTTAGTGTCAGTTTTAAGCAAACTTTGTGGTCCCTGGAAGCTTCACCACAAGGTAAACACGTAGAAGAGTTTACTTTCCCAACAGCACAAATAGACGTTTTTGAATGGAATAGAGGCTTTTTGACCCTGAGTGATATGACTTGGGTTAAGTGATCATCCTAGGATCACAGTTATGAATAGGAAATCATAGGAGGGTTGTCAAAACAAGGAGGGTTTAAAGTGGCTGCCACCTTGCCAAATACAAATGAATATGGCGGGAACAACAACTGACTGCAAGTCAACCTGATGAGTTAAGGTAAGGCAAAGCACAGGTATGTTTGGTAGTATTAAAACTACTTGTTGCCATGGAAATAGGGAATGAAACAATCTATTATCCATACATTATTTTGGATATCCCGATATTGAATAGACAACTAGACTTTTTTTCTCCCTCATTTTTCCTCCACCTAATTGACCTTTAATTTGCAGATTTGATCACCCTATTATTTGATTGTGTAAGCACACAATCCTTAACCAGAAAACAGGACAAAAAGTTCAAGGCAAATCATGTTTGTAATTTTAATCACTGTGATGCCTTATTTTAATCAGATGTCTGATTGCCAAAGATGACAAAACAGCTAATTTCACACATAAACACACATGTAGATATTATTAGTTAATAATAACTTACTAAAAAAAATACATGGAGACAAATGAAAATGAAAACACAATGATCCAAAATCTTTGGGATGCAGCAAAAACGGTTCTAAGAGGGACGTTTATAGCAATACAGGCCTACCTCAAGAAGTAAGAAAAATCTCAAACAACCTAAACTTATACCCAAAGGACCTAGAAAAAGAAGAACAAACAGAGCCCAAAGGCAGTGGAAGGAAGGAAATAAAGATAGGAGCAGAAATAAAGACAGAGAGAGAGAAACAGATCAATGGAACCAGGAGCTTGTTCTTCAAAAAAATAAAATTGATAAACATTTAGCCAGACTCATCAATAAAAAAAGAGAGAGGACTCAAATAAAATCAGAAATGAAGGAGGAGAAATAACAACACCACAGAAATACAGAGGATTATAAGACAATATTATGAAAAATTGTATGATAACAAATTGGACAAACTAGAAGAAATGAATAAATTCCTAAAAAGCATATAGCCTACCAAAACTGAATCAGGAAGAAATAAAAAATTTGAACAGAACAATTACTAGCAATGAAATTGAATCAGTAATAATAATAAACAAACAAAAATCCTAACAAACAAAAGTCCAGGACCAGATGGCTTCACAGGTAAACTCTACCAAACATTTAAAGACTTAATACTTACTCTCCTCAAACTATCCAAAAGATAAAAGAATAAGGAAAGCTTCCAAGATTCTATGAGGCCAGCATTATCCTGATGCCAAAACCAGGCAAGTACACTACAAACAACAACAACAACAACAACGATAACAACAAAACTACAGGCCAATATCTCTGATGAACATTGAAGCAAAAATCCTCAACAAGATACTGGCAAACTGAATTCATACACCATATTGAATGGGATTTATTCCATAGATGCAAGGATGCTTCAATATTTGTAAATTAATCACTGTGATACATTACCTTAAGAGAAAGGATGAAAAACATATTATCTCAGAGATGGAGAAAAAAGCATTCGACAAAGTACAATATTCATTTATGATTAAAAAAAAATGTTCTACAAAGTAGATTTAGAGGGAACATACCTCAACATAACAAATGCTATACATGAAAACCCACAGCTAATATCATACTCAGTGATGAAAAAGTGAAAGCTTTTCCGTTAGATCAGGAACAAGACAAAGATGTCCACTTTCACCACTTTGACTTAACATAGTACTGGAAGTCCTAGATGCAGCAATCAGACAAGAAAAAAAATAAAATGCATCTGTATTGGTAAGGAAGAAGTAAACCTGTTAACTACCTGTAGGTGACATGATACTATGTATACAAAACCCCAAAAACTCCCCAAAACACTAGAACTGATCAACGATCAGTAAAGTTGCAATATACAAAATTAATATACAGAAAGCTGTTGCATTTCTATACACTAATAACGAAATAGTATAAAGAGAAATTAAGAAAACAACCCCATTTACAATTACACCAAAAAGAATAAAATACCTAGAAATATAATTAACCAAAGAATTGAAAGACCTATACTCTGAAAACTATAAAACACTGTGAAATTGAAGATGACACAAACAAATGTAAAGATATTCCATGCTCACGGATTGGAAGAACCAATATTGTTAATATGTCCATACCACCCAAAGCAATTTCAGATTCAATGAATATACAATGAGGAAAAGACAATATCTTTAATAAATGGTTCTGGGAAAATTGGACAGCTACATGCAAAAGAATGAAACTGGGCCAGTTTCTTATACCATACACAAAAATAAGCTCAAAATGGATTAAAAACCTAAATGTGAGACCTGACACCATAAAACTCCTAGAAGAACACATAGGCAATAATTTCTTTGATATTAGCTATAGAAACATTTCTATATGTATCTCCTCAGGCAAGGGAAACAAAAGCAAAAGTAACTACTGAAACTTAACTACCAAACTACTTTAGGTGTAAGTAAGTAACTACTTACACCAAAATAAAACACTTTTGCCCAGTAAATAAAACCACTGACAAAACGAAAAGGCCACCTATTGAATGGGAGAAGATATTTGCAAGTGACACATCTGATAAAAGTGTAATATCCAAAATATATAAAGAACTTCTACAACTCAAAGCCAAAAAAAGCAAATAATCTGATTAAAAATGGGCAGAGGATCAGAAAGGATGAATACCCAACTTTTGCATCAACATGGATGGGACTGGAGGAGATTATGCTAAGTGAAATAAGCAGAGAAGTCAATTATCATATGGTTTCACTTATTTGTGGAACATAAGGAATAGCACGGAGGACATTAGGAGAAAGAAGGGAAAAATGAAGGGGAGAATCAAAGGGGGAGGTAAACCATGAGAGACTATGGACTCTGAGAAACAAACTGAGGGTTTTAGAGGGGAAAGGGGTGGGGGGATGGGTGAGCCCAGTGATGGGTATTAAGGAGGGCATGTATTGCATGGAGCACTGGGTGTTACACACAAACAATGAATCATGGAAAACTACATCAAAAACTAATGATGTACTGAATGGTGATTAACATAATAAAAACAAACAAGCAAACAACCAAAAAAATAAAATAAAATAAAAAAATGGACAGAGGACCTGAATAGACATTTTCCTTTTTTTTAAGATATTTTCCCAAAGAAAATCTACAGATGGTCAACAGACCATATGAAAACATGCTCAACATCACTAATCATCAGGGAAATGCAAATCGAAACCACAATGAGATATCACCTTACACCTATCAGAATAACTAGAATCAAAAACACAAGAAATAACAAGTATTGGTGAGGATTTGAAGAAAAAGGAACCCTTGTGCACTGTAGGGGGGAATGCAAACAGGTACAACCACTGTGGAAAACAGTATGGAGTTTCCTCAAAAAATTAAAAATAGAAATATGAAATGATCCAGTAATTCCACTACTGGGTATTTACCCAAAGAAAACAAAAACACTAATTCAAAAAACTATATGCACCACTATGTTTATTGCAACACTATTTACAGTTTACAATATTGGTTATTTACAATAGCCAAGATACAGAAGCAATCCAATTCAATCCAATCCATCCATTGATAGATGAATGGATAAAGATGGTGTGTGTGTGGGGGGGGTGTGTGTGTGTATGTTTGTGATGGAATACTACCCAGCCATAGAAAAGAATGAGATCTTGCCATTTGCAACAACATGGATGGGCCTAGAAGGTATAATACTAAGTGAGATAAGTCAATCAAAAACAAATATCATATTATTTCATTCATATGTGGCATTTAAGAAAAAAATGAATAAATACAAAAAAAGACCAAAACACAGACTCTTAAATACAGAAAAGAAACTGGTGGTTGCCAGAGGGGAGGTAGGTAAGGAGAATGGGTGATGCAGTTAAAGTGGATTTTGAGGTACAAAGCTCCAGTTACAAAGTAAATAAGTCATGGAGATGAAAAGTACAATTTAGGAAATATAGTAAATGTGGCTATAATAATATGTTTTGGTGACAAATGGTGACTACACTTATTGTGATGTGCACTGAGTAATGTATAAAATTGTTGAATCATTATGTTATAT